AAATATCAAAAATTTTTATCGAGAAATGCTTCATTTCTACTTTAATCAAATTTCGTCAATATTACCCATGATTAAATATTTTTTAGATATTCTATATATATATATATATATATATAAAGAAATGGCGTACAATTTAAAGGGTTCATACGACCTGAAACTTAAAACCGTAATCCAATTTTTGTGATGTGTTCTCTAAATTTTATCTAGAAGAAGGTAATGGAACTGTTTAGGGTCTATGGAAATTGGAGTCAACAAGGGAAAATTTGGAACAATGACATTTGTTGTCAATGAAAAATTGAAATTTGAAAATTGAAAATTAAACAAATAATAACATGTGAAGGGAACATGTACCACAAAGCAAACCAAGTCGCTTTTGTTTTTACACGCAAAGAAAAATCAAAGCCTACTTTATCTTTTTGGAATCTTGACATTGATACTCGCCTTATAATATGTTGACACACGTTCCTATGATCTTTACATTTTCTCAGGAGAATGGCACTAAGAGCCTCAAAACATAGAAAATTACACTTTGGGCTCAATAAATGCTGATAATATACTACAGGCCCAAAGGTCCTTGTTTCAATTTTTGTTCAGTGTGAAAGTACAATTTTGCATCTCTCAAAACAAACCGAGCACAATCTGATCTTTTTCTTCCTCTCTTCCTTCTCTTCTTTTTGTCTTTCTTTTCCTCCTCATAGCATTGCATTATAGTTCCCAGTTCTTCCATTCCCTACTCCATCTTCTTGATCTATCTATCCTTCTTGTGGTGAGCTAATATGCAAGAGCTAGGTTTTGCATATCTTGATCTCACTGCCTTTATTGTCGTCCTTAAGAAACTTTTGTAGATCACTCTTCCTAAATCAATAGCCATTATTTCAAGATGAGCACCGGTGAGTCCCTTAGCATCAAACCTATAGAACTGAAGTTTCCCTAAAAGTTTTATTCTAGATCTATTCATCTTTCATTTAGATACATGTTTATGAGATTTTTGGGAACTGCTACAGAAGCTGCAAAAACCAAAACTTGCCATCACTGAGTTGTGAATATCTGAATTCAAAAATTCTATACTTGGACTTTGAATTGTGAATTGCTAAACCTATGCTTGTGAATATTTGGATGTTAAGTTGTCAATTTATGAACTTTTGCAGCACGTCAACTCTGAACCTTTGCTTGTCAAGATGTGGACTTTTACCTGTATATATTTAAACCTGTATTTGAGAATAGCAAGACTTTTACTTGTACATTTCTAAACTTTGTAATAATAAGTTTTAATTTCTTTTCCTGTACATATTTCTGAACTTTTACTTTTACTTGTACATTTCCAAAATAATAGGTTTGTTTTTTACAGTATGATGCTTGATACTTCTAATAATGTGTTGAGCTTTATCCAACCAAAAATCATGGAGCAATAGAATAATTGGCTAATTCTCCTAGTTACTGAAGAGGAAATTAAGGCAGCATGCTTCTAGTTGGGAGCTTTTAAGGCCCCAGGTCTTGATGGCTTTAATGGGCATTTTTATTAGGCTTCTTGGAGCAAGATAAGTACCCCTATTCTTACTATGGTTTGTGAATTATTTGAAAATAATGGTGATATTAATGAACTGAATGCTACAACTCTAATCATAATTCCTAAGATTGATCATCCGGAGTTTATTTCTCATTTTCATCCTATTAGCTTATGCAACTTTGCTTACAAGATAATTGCAAAGGTGCTAGCAAAACAATTGAGATTAGTGCTTGATGATTGTATCTTAGAACATCAAAGGGATTTTATTCCTAACCAGTTAATATAGGACAACAACTTCATCGTTCATGAGGTGTTCCACTATCTTAAGCATAAAAAGAAAGGGGAAAAGCATGAATTTGCTCTTACAATGGACATGAACAAGGTGTATGATAGATTGGAATGGAAATTTCTCAAAGATGTCATGCTCAAATTGAATTTTTGCTCTACTTGGGTTAATTGGATCATGCAATGCATATGCAGTGTATCTATCAATATACAACTTTTTGGGAAAGCATTGCCTCTGTAATTCCTGAATGAGGGCTTCATCAAGGAGACCCACTATCCCCATATCTCTTCATATTGGCTTCGAAAGCACTATCTCTCATGATATTTGCTTATGTCGAGTAGGGGGATTTAATAGGAATCTGTTTGGTAAGGAGAGGGCCCATGTTGACCTATTGTTTATTTGCAGATGGCACAATAGTTTTCCTCAATGCTAATCCTAGAAATTGCTTGTTATTTAAAAATGTTAAGAAAACAATACCGCACAAGCCTGAGTTTGATAGGCTAAAGCCCAATAGCTAGGTCTATCTATAGCCTATTATTCTAATGTAAATAACCATTCTTATATTTTTATTCATTTTAATGGTTTAAATGTTGCCCTAAGGGCTATAACTTCAACTATATAAGGAATAAATATTCTAGGGCTTTATGCGCCAATTCTTACATTTTCTATCTTTATCCTTTCTTAACTTCATATCAGAGCTAAAAGGCTTGCTGCCATGGCTGACAACTTATCCTCTACAGACATTCCACCTCTTAAGACCCCACAAGGCTCTAATACCACCAACTCACTCTTCAACACTGCCTTTCTTTTCAAAAGTCTATCGGCATTTTCTCCTCTTTCTTAAACATGTCTATTAAGCTAGATAGATAAAATTTCCTCATTTGGTAGACTCATGGACTGCCTATCCTTGAGGGATATAAACTTAAAGGATTTATAAATAGGATGAAGCCATATCCCACTCAATTTGTCATTATCAACAATGAGTCTAAAATTAATCTAGAATTTGATGACTAGATTTCCACCGATCAACTTGTGTTTGGTTGGTTGCTCAATATTATGACCATTGACATTTCAACTCAGATGACTTATGTTTTCACTTCCTATGGTTTGTGGACTGTTGCATGTGAAATAGCTGGAGCTCAAAATTGAGCTCATGTCATCATGCTTTGAATAGAGATGCAACATACTAGGAAGGGTGTGATGAGTATGCTTGACTATCTAATGAAATGAAAGGTATTTCTAAGAGTCTTACCTTAGCTAGAAATCTTATACCATAATCTAACTTGTTCTTGCAAGTTTTAGCTAGTCTTGATGGTGACTATAACCTTATTGTTGTTCAATTATCTGCCAAAGAAGAAATCAGTTAGGTTGAATTTCAAGCTTCTCTTCTTACTTTTGAAAGTCAGCTTAAGCAACTAAATCAGTTTACCCATCTGAACATTTCCACCCAATTTGCTAACTATACTCGTGCTGGTTAGAGAGGCTCACGTGGTGGAAGAGGCTATTATGGCCATGGTTGTTCTGGTAAAGGTTCTTGAGTACCTTGTCAGCTTTATGACAAACCACGACACACAATCAAGAATTATTTTCATCATTTTGACCGAAGTTTTAATCCACTACATTTTTTGTAAAACATTTGATTTTGGTTCTTCTGGTCTTGACGAAATTCTTTATGCTACACTAAAAATAGTAACTAATGACTCTTGGTATTTATACAGTGGTGCCACTTGTCATGTTACTAATGATGAATCTCGACTTGATCAATCAACTCTAAATAATGGCAAGGCACATCTAAATGTTGCTAATAGGTAAAATTTACATGTTGAAAGAATTGGTTCATCTTAAGTGTCTAATGTTTCTAATCACTTAGTTTAGCTGAATGATGTTTATTATGCTCCAAAAGCTAAGAAAAAAATTATTGAGCATTCCTAAACTATTTGATGACAATAATGCCTTAGTTTTAATAAACTCGGATGTTGCTACTATTACAAATCAGGGCATGGGAACCACTCTGTTGCAGGGGCAGAGAAGTAATAGTGGGCTTTACAAGGTTAATGTCCATAAAGTCAAGAAGAAGAGAAACAATTTTGGCTAAACACAACAGTTGTTATTTGCTATTGATGGAGAAGAAGTCATAATTAATAAGAATAATACTAGTAGTGCAAGTTGTACCAATCTTAAGATGCCTTGGCATGATAGGTTCGGGCATCCTAATGATACAATTTTGAACTAGATTATTAGTGAATGTAATTTTCAAGTTAATAGAAAAGAGGAACCTATGTTTTGTGAATCTTGCAAGTCTCATTCCTTACCATTTAAAGCTTCTCTTTCTCGTGCATCTTAAACTCTACAATTAGTTTGCACAGATTTATAGGGGCCCTCTCTTATGCCTTCTATTAATGGTTTTCACTATATTGTATTGTTTCTTGATGATTACACTAGATTTTCTTAGATTTTTCCTTTGAAAACAAAAGATGAAGCTCTATCCACATTTGTTCAATTTGAGAACTTTACTGAAAAGCAATTTGACAAGAAAATCAAGGCTGTATAGAGTGATTAGGGTTGTAAATATCACAATTTTTCTAAGCTTCTTCAAGATTCAGGAATCCATTTTAGACACTCTTGTCATCACACTTCTTAACAAAATGGGCAAGCTGAGAGGAAGCACAGATAAATAGTAGAGACTGGTCTTACTCTTTTACCACAAGTTAAGATCACTATCACAGAATACCCCCTTACTTGATAGTTATTTTAGCTAATATTTAAAGATTTTTAACCGTCAAGTAATGGGGTGTCATATGTTACTTGACCATTAAAAACCATCAAATATTCAAGATATTACTTAATGTTTATTTCAAGATAACTGTCAAGTAAATTTTTAAACATTTACATTCAAGCTTTATTACAAGACTATACTTGATGGTTATTATAGTAAATACTTGATGGTTATTTAAAAAAATTGTCAAATATTTTTGGTAAATTCTATTCATTGATTTGCCAAAATACTTGACGGTTATTTCGAAACAAATATCAAGTAAACATATACTTGACGTTTGTTTTGAAATAACCATCAAGTATTTACTGTATTTTTTTAAAAAAAGTTGAAAAGCAACTCTCTTGTAAATACAAAGTAATTAAATATATATACCATCCAGCCGACAATAAAAAACAAATGAATTATTATTTATATTAAAATTAACATCCAAATGTCTTTAATCTCTTATATCTTCCTATATCCTAAACCTAAAGTCATAAAAAATCTATAATTTTACCTAATTTGCAAGCTAAAATTTCAAAACTAAATGGCTTAAGACGTAAAATTGGACAAAAAAAAAATAGGTGTGTATATCAAAACTAATTATTGGGCCTAACCACTATCGCTATTCACATGTTGAATGCGGCTTGATCTACCTCTTTAAGGGCTTCTTCTATATGTGCAGCTACATATCGAACACAATAGGGATCCTTGAAGTACTGTATGCAAAGAGTTATAACAAATTCAAGTTAATAGCCATTTAATAAAAATTGGTTAAAATTTATAATTTAAGTGTAATTAAATTTAATATATACCTTGTTAGGTAATGTGGTAGGGACATGGGTGATAATGTCCTCCAAGAATTTCATTAAGTAATAGCCACAGTCATCACTCTGATCTGGCTAAAGTGGACACTGAAAAAAAAATCACATATAAATGAAATAATAGTTAAAAGGCTACAATTTATTGATTAAAAACTTAGCCCATTAGGTTATCTTAACTGTGAGCCATTTCTCACAAAAGTCCAATGTCCTTAAGCTGGGAGACAAGGTCTTGTTGGTTGCAATACCATAGCTATAAGAGAGAAGTAAAGAATAAATGTTAGAAATTCTATATGTGTGTATATTAAAATAAAAATTGATAAAAATTCAACTCACCTATTAAAAATTTCTACCATATCTACCTTGTTGCTTGATTTTCCATTAAGAAGATTAAGATACCAAATTTATGGAGTAATATGGTTAATCACAATAAGCATCCAGTACCTCCTAATAAGAAATACAAGTGTTATTAAATAAGTAAATATAAAAAATATTTTCTTGTACCAAAATTAGCTAGAAAGTGGCTCACCCCTAGCAGTAAGGAGTGAGAAATAAAATATCATTGTCTACTCCCCTATCCTTGAATTGATCTGAAAGCTACCTTACTTGATCTTCAAGAGATTCCTTTGTAATTTTATTATAGGCAGAGACATTATGGGATTAATTAACTTAAATCTCAACTCGAGGCCACTAGCAACCATAAATGAGGTATAAAGGTGCCTTGGGTGAAAAAATAACCAGGCTAATATATGCACATGTGTATACACACACATATAATTTAAATAATTAATTGAGCACTACCGAAGAAATACCTCATGTAGAAGCTCATTAGACTAGTGCTGGTTATTTTGTGCTTGAGGATTTAATTTAAAATTTCATCCTGAATAACTTTAAATGAGTTCAGTTTTTCATATACCTATCATCAAACTAATGACATCCTCAATTTCCACTTTATGAGCCATCCTTATGGCTATTGCATAAGTCTTAAGAGAGACATGGTATTCGTATTCTATAACTGGCGCCGGTGCTGCTAGATACTACGAAACTATGGCTAACTCTATGATATAGCCTGACTTACTTTTAAGTTTCTCTTCCCTCTCAGCTACATAACAAAAAAGTTAGATATTTATAATTATATTATAAAATTATAAATAACTATTTAAATCATACATTTTTTTAGAGGCAATAGGTCCTTTGCCAACTTTGGTGTTACCATCATTACAAGATGGCTAGGCCATGTAATGAAGCTCCCTACTGCATCTGCCACCATGTGTGCCTCATCGGTAGGAACAGGCAATGGGTACTTAAGGTCAATTGCAACAAGTAGAAAAACTCTTACACAGTTGTACACACATCAGTTACAACCACTTTACGTTCAAGAGTGTCTGCCAAACAATTGTAGTCGTTCTCGCCCTAAACAAACAATAATAGTCAATTTTTAAAATAAAAATAGTGAGACATTCATAAGATAAAACATATTACCTCGTGTGGTTTTTTTTGAAGGGATTGTGTGGCTATCTTTCTGGCTAGGGCTAATCTTACACAAAGTCCTCCCAGGGACTTGCCTTTTCAGCAACATGTCAAATAATGTTGCCTGGGCTAGTAGTTGCTGCTTCATAATGGCTTGCTTTTCTCTCAGCTCTTGGACCTCAGACAAAGAAGTTGATGTTCGCTTCTATATCTTGCTAAAATATTGCTTCTTCATGATATCGAAGTCAATACCCGTGACATGACCAGGGTGGTCAACAGTCCCTAATGCCCTAGCCAAGATATCCTCATGCTCAGGAAGATTGCCTTGTGAGACTTCCTAAGAGATGGAATCTTGTGTAAAGTAAATATGATTAGTTTGGATGTTCATAATCAATTATTAAATGACAGATAAGTATAATACTTATAATTTTTTTAGTAACCTCCTTCACGTGAGGGTTGTCAATAATTCCTTTTTTATTAGCGTGTGCTAATACCCAGAGCTTATGGCAAGATATGGTAACCTCTGATCCCTTCTTCTCTGCTTGTTTTTATTCAATGCCTATATACCCCAACCTCCCTGCTTTATAAGGATATTCGTTCTTCACTATTCTCTCTTTATTCTAAGCACTCAGTTCCTCGACAAATTAATAATAAAAAATTTTATTAGTACATGAACATACAATCAATAAATAACACCAAACTTGCAATTTAGGAAACACCAATACCTTGAATTACTTTTCACGCCGTGAGGCAACAAAAGCATCCCAATCCTCTTATTTTACTAAAGGTTGTAATAAGGGAGAAACTTGAGCTATAAATTTAGCATCCCAATCTGTGTGATGAAATATCTAAAAGACAGTAGTGCCCTCCTAGCCTTTTGTAGGACAAAATCCTTTTTACTCTCATCAATTTCAAATCCTGACTGTAAAATAAAATAAACAACATATCAGATGCATCAATTTTAAAAATAGTTTATACTAAAATATACTTAGTAAAATGTAACTTACTACTACGGTATCCCAAACAAGATTCTTCGTGGCCTCATCCACTTTGTGCCATGATTTTACTGTGATAGGCACAATAGTCTTTGCTACCACCCCAATATAACTTATAAATTTTGAAGATTTGATTGCTTGCCCTTTTTTGTTTCATTACACATCAATTTTTTTTCCTGCAGCTCTTGTTTTTGTCACCACTTACATTATCGTTAGGCCCTGCTTGATGTTATTATACTCCTGCTCCATATTTTTCTGTGTACTCAAAAACCTTAGTTGAATTTGTAGCTGAAATTGATGGAAGGGTATCAATAGACTCACTATCAAAAGCTATTTATCTGTAAAGAAACACAATTAAATCAAACATTAATCAACTTAAACAAAATTCACACAATTAATTCAAAGTCTACATGTTCAAGTAGCTCTTTTTCATTTTCTTGACTCTTATTTTTTACTTCCCCCTCATTGAAATATTTTCTTCTTATATTGTAATAATTTACCCTTTTTTGAAATTCAAATGCCTTCACTATGATCATTTTTCACATATAAAGCATCATCTACAGTGACATTACTTTGATTTGATGTCTCTTCAAATAGGTCATCTTCAACTGCTTCATCTCCATTTACTTTTTCATTTAACAGAAAAATAGACCATCCCTTATTAGCAGGGTCGGGAATATAAAACACTTGTTTAGCTTATGCGTCGAAACGAAAGTCTCATCTTTATACCCTTCCTTACTCAAACTCGTGCAAATCCAAATTAATCATCAAATTTCAAGCTATTTTTATGATCAATCTACTTGCACCTAAAGATAAAAACTCGAAAGGATATGTAATCTAAATCTCATATGTGCTCAATTACATTAAAGTATGACATGTTTGCATAGATAGGATTTTTATATTTAGTATTAGAAATATACATGGAATGAGCTACAAGAGTTATAGCACTATTTTATATTGTACTCCTATCATCTTGCTCCCTTGTATAAACTGTATGCCCATTGACAAGGTATGCAGTGTAAGCAATGACCTGTCTACTTTGACCATTAGCTTTGCCCTTTTCAATTGCTTTAGCCATTTGTTCAAGAAAATCTTCCTCAAGTGTACATGTGTCAAAATCATCAAGAGATGATGCATAGCTTTCAGTATGCTCCTAGCTATAACCAATATCATTCATTGTCTCATTATGCATTGTTCAACACTTGTAACTTTGATCCATCCCATTAATTACTAAGTGTTCTTTACAAGTATCTAAATTAACCCACTTCACAAGGCCGCACTTTAAACACAGGCAAACAATCCTAGCAGAGTTGTCTGCATGCTTAACTGCAAACTTAATGAAATTTGCTATCCCATCCCAATATTCCTTAGATAGATGATTAGCAGACGTCCATTTCTTATCCATAATTTCTAAAAAGATTAAGAGGAATGTGATTAATGACTTTGACTACTCTTACATATTTGGAGAGTTAGATACAAAGTATCAATTAGTCAATGAGTCATTAACTATATATTTGCACATTCCTTCTTTAATCTTATTTAAAACTAGTAACTAGCTAATTTTTAATACTAGTAACTATGAGAGTTTTGTAGGCTTTATGCCTTCTTGATTAATCTAAAACAACACATACAACAACAGCAGCAAAAATCACAAAACAACTCAAACAAGTCTTACATATTAAAAAAATTTCAACAACATAACAGTTTAAAAATGGACATTTTTTAGGTCTTATACTCTCTCTTCATTCTAAATTTTAGTCCTAAATATTCTACTCTAGTCAACACATAAGGTAAATAATAAATTTACAACTACATTCAAGATTACATAACATCAACAGCACAATACTCAGTCCACATAGCAATAACAAACACAAGAGAAGACAATGTATGCAACAATTAACAATAAAAATATTCAAATTAACTAAAAATTTAATAGGAAAATTTTTTAACTCATAAAATCAAAACCTAAAACACCCAAAATTAGTTAACCAAAAAATCAAGAATAATACCCATAATAAAGAACAGCCACAAGTCAACAAAAATCAAATTTCAAATAACCATTTTCCATCAATAAACCAAAATCTATAATCTATGAACTCAAAAGAAGGATTAATGATGAAAAAATCAAAGAACCAACCTCAAGGAATGAGAGCACACTGAAAACGAACATGGGAGGCTACGAGAGGGAAGATGAAGACCAAAATGAGCTTTACAACAAGCAAATACCCCAAAGCTAGCATCGAAACAAGGTAAAATTTTGGTTTGATGGCCGAAAATATGTTTTTGAAACTATCTGGAGAGGTTTCAAGAGGTTTAAGTGCAAGCAGAGAAAGAACAATTTAGTTCTGAAATATGATTTTAAAACATAATACTTGATGGTTATTATAAAATAACTGTTAAGTATTTTATGTTTGATGCCTATTAAGACATAACCATCTATTAAGACATAACCGTCAAATATATGCTAGACATACTTGATGATTTTTTCATAACATGCGTCAAATATATTTTTTTAAATATTCTTTTTTAAATAATATAATTGATGCTTGGTTACAGAAAACTGTTAAGTATAACAAGCTTATATTTGACGGTTACCTTTGAAAAAGCATCAAATATACTTACGTGATATATTTGACAGTTATTTACTTATAACCATTAGATATATGTTCATTTACTTGACAGTTGTTTTGAAATAATTGTCAAGTATTCTCTACCTATTTTATTTGTTAATTATTTTTAATAATCATCAAGTATGAGGCATCTTATTTAAATAATTCTGTAGTAGTGGATGCCTCTATATTACTGGTGGGAGTCTTTCTACACTTCTACAGATCTGATCAACAAATTGCCTAGTAGTGTCTTGGGTGGCGTCTCACCTTATATGAAACTTTTTGTGAAATACCCTAATTATTCAACATTAAAGATATTTAGTTCAACCTGTTATCCTTGTCTACGGCCTTATAATACACACAAGTTACAATTTAGATCCACCAAGTGTGTTTTTCTTCGTTATATCAATTCACACAAAAGGTGTAAGTGTCTAAGTTCTATAGGCAAGATCTACATTTCTCAGCATGTGGAATTCAATGAGAATGAATTTCCTTTTTCTACTAGTTTCATTAATAAAAAAAATTACCTAATAAAGTTGAAGTTAATCCAAAGGTTTTCTTTAAACCTTTTTTATCAGCTTTGCCTACTTCATGTCCTTCTTCCACTGATCAATCACTTACTGCAGCAAAAGATTCAGGTGGTCCTGCTCCTCTTCTAAATTCTCCTGAGAGTCCAGCTATCGTATCATTACTTAATTCATCTCCATCCTCTACTATACCTATGCAAATTATAGAGGAGATTGTAGATGAGAACGATCATATTCCTGCTCATATTCACTTAGACAGACCAATTGAACCAAAAAATCAAGTGAGTAATCAGAACAAATACTCAATGATAACTAGGAGCAAAGCTAGCGTATTTAAACCAATAATACCATTTGTTGGCTTAATTAGTTCTGGTGCACATGACATAACTGAATCAAATAGTATTCAAAAAGCCCTAAAGTCCTCTTTATGGTGTAAAGCTATGATAGAAGAATTTAATGCTCTTGTTTGAAACAAAACTTAGGTACTAGTTCCATATACACATAATAAAACACTAGTGGACTGTAAATGGGTGCTTAAGGCGAAATACAATGCTAATAGTTCATTGTCAAAATCAAAAGCTCGACTTATGGAAAAAAGTTTTCAATAGTATGTAGGAATTGATTACGAAGAAACTTTTAGTCCTATGCTTAAGCTTGCCACACTGAGGTTTATTCTAACCTTAGTTGTTTCCTTTCAATGGCCAGTTTGACAAATTGACATAAATAATGCATTTCGTAATGGTTGTTTGCAAGAAAGAGTGTATATGAAACAACCAGAAGGTTTTATGGACAAAAGGTACCCAAACTATGTTTGTTTACTTAATAAAGCCATTTATTGTCTGAAATAAGCACCTAAGGCTTAGTTTAACAAATTAAAGTCTACTCTTCTTGGCTGGAATTTCCAACATTCCAAACGCGATAGTTCTCTGTTCTTCCTCAAATTGAAGAACAAGATAATGTTTGTTCTTATCTATGTGGATGACATCATTATTATTGGAAATTCCTTGGCTATGTTAATTGAGTTTATAAGGCAATTAAACTCATTTTTTCCTTTAAAAGACCTAGGGAATCTGCATCACTTCTTAGGTATTGAAGCACACCGAGACTCAATAGGGATCTATCTTAAGCAAGGGAAATATATCACTGATTTGCTCAGAAAATTTGGAATGACCAATTGCTTCCTTGTTCCTACGCTAATGGTAATCAACAAAACACTATCAACTCATGATGGTACTCCTCTCAAAAATCCGTCTACGTATCGTAGTTTTGTGGGGGCTCTTCAGTATCTTGTAAATACAAGACCTAACATTTTGTTTGTTGTGAACAAACTTAGTCAATTCTGTCATTCTCCTACCGATCAACACTGGCAGGCAATTAAACAAGTACTAAGATATCTAAAGGGTACAGTGGATCTAACATTACATTTCAAGCCAAGTTCAGATTTTACCTTGCAAGGATTCTCTGACTCCGATTAGGCCGCATACACTGATGATCGGAGATTGATCAGAGGTCACTGCATCTTCCTCGATGAGTCTTTCATTGCATGGTCAGGGAAGAAACAAAAGGTTGTGGCTCGGTCAAGCACTGAATCAAAGTATTGCTCCTTGGCCAATGTAGCTACCAAGTTCACCTGGCTTCAATCTTTATTTTCTAAGCTTGGATTCAAGCTTTCTCAAGTTCTTGTAGCCTGGTATGATAATCGAAGTGCCTCTGCTCTTGCTTCGAACCCTGTTTTCCATGCTTGAACAAAACACATCAAGCTGGACGTCCACTTTGTCCGAGATCGAGTCCTAGCATGCTAGATGTCGGTTCAATATGTGCCATCGTCTGAGCAAGTTGCTAACCTATTCACTAAAGCATTATCTCACTCACGGTTCCTAGGTCTACGAAACAAATTTGGGCTCGTAAAACACCCACCCTCAAGTTTGCGAGGGGTTGTTAAGACAGCAATACTGCAAAAGCTCAAGTCTAATAGGTTTACCTATAGCCTATTATTTTAATGTAAATAATCATTGCCATATTTTTGATTTATTTTAATAGTTTACACGTTTCCCTAAGGGCTGTAACTTCAGTCATATAATGAATAAATATTCTAGGGCTCTGTGCACTGATTCTTACATTTTCTATCTTTATCCTTTCTTAACTAAAAAGATCCTACAGGACTATTGTGGGGCCTCGGGACAATGCTTAAACTTTGATAAGTCAAATTTCTTTTTTCAGCCAACACACCAGATGCAGTAAGGGAGAATGTTGGTGCTTTATTGAATATTGGCGAAGCAAATGACCCGGGTAAATACTTGGGGCTCCTTGTCTTGTGGGAAAGATCAAAGACTGTTGCTTTAGCTTATGTCCAGAAGAAAGTAGCCAAGAAGGTCCAAGAATGGAAGAAAAAACTACTTTCATTTGCTGGAAGAGAGGTGATGGTCAAATCTGTTGTCAGTGCTATTCCCATATATCCCATGTCATGTTTTAAGTTTCCCAAGAATGCATTTGTAGCTCTGGACAGCTTAGTATCAAACTTTTTCTGGAGCAACTCTCCAAGTGGAGGATCTATTCACTAGAAATCATGGAATTCACTCAAAAGAGCCAAGTGTCAAGGTGGAATGGGTTTCAAAGATTTCATGACATTCAATGATGCTTTACTAGTAAAGACTGCATGGAGAATCCTGCAGAACCCAGATAGCTTGCGGGTAAGAGTACTTAGAAGTAAATATTTTCCAACCTCCTACTTTTTACATGCAAAGAAAGGGCCGAGGGCATCGTGGATGTGGGACAGTATTCTAACAGGGCGTGCTTTTTGGGAAAAAAATCTATGCTGGCAAGTGGGAACGGGGCACTATATAGATGTCTGGAAGGATCCGTGGGTGCCGGGAGCTCCAAAGTTTGTGTTGCCAAAAATGGAAAATGCTATTGTCAATAACGATATGGTGGTGGCAGAACTTATTTCTAACAGGCAGTGGGAGTTACAACCCATAAGCCATGCTGCAGAGCCCAACTTTATCCCATTTTTTCGGGCTATTCCCCATTCTGATGCAGTAGATCTGACAAGTTGGTTTGGGTAGCAACTAGAAATGGAGATTATAGTGTGCAGATGGGATACAAGACAGCAGGGAAAGATGCAGTGGACAGAGAAATCACCCTGCAAGCCAGCTCATCCAGACCACTAGACATACGAATCTGGAAAGAGGTGTGGAAGTGGAAGACAGCCAAAAATCAGAAGCTTCATGTGGAGAGTACTTAACAATGCTTTGGCCATCCGAGAAGCTCTATGCAGAAGAAAATGTGCCCCACATCCCTTTTGTCCTGTTTCTGGTGATGAGGTGGAGACCATCGAGCACTTATTTCTTCAATGCAAATGGGCTTACTTGGTTTGGGTGTCCTTTGGGTTTGCGTAGCAATACTGGTGAGGCCTTTACTCTAGGTCTTTGGCTGGAAAAGTTGTTTCTATCTGGGTGTGAGGATGTAGAGTATGTGAGGGCTTATGGGGCTGCCTTTTGTTGGCTCATATGGAAAACCAGGTGCAAAAAATGTTTGAATGCAAAGATCCGGCACCAGCTCGAGTTATTGAATTAACAAATAACCTTATAAAGGAATATTGGGAGACTAATTTGCTCTTGGAAATCTCGCATTCATCTATGAAATCCAGAAGGAACGCTATGTGGATAAATCCAACTGATAGACTAGTTATTTTGAACTGTGATGGTGCATTTTGTGGTCGAAATGGATGAGCTAGAATCGGAATCTTATGTCGAGACTCAGCAGGTACATTTATTCGCGGCTGGTCTGAGAGTTTGATTGCTGACTCCGCTTTTCATGCTGAACTTCTAGCTCTTCGAAAGGCCATTTCTTTATCTACGGAATGGCTACTAGAGAATCCTATTATTGAGACAGATTGCAGCGACCTACATAATGCTGTGAACTCATTCTCCTTCAGCTGCTATCCTTGGCAATGTCATGGACTTCTTGCAGATGTGTTCAACATGTTGACGGATCGAAGAATGATCTCCTTTTCTCTCATTCCCCGCTCGAGGAATTCAGCTGCCGATTTTCTGGTTGCAATTGCTTCAAGGGAGATGGGGCCTAACGGTCTGGTTTTAAGACATCCACCTCCTCTAGCTACTGTCATTCTTCGTGAAGTTGGTGTTGATACATCGTCTATTGAGGCCGAACACTTTTCGGAGGCTAATAGAGCGGGAATTGGCTGATGTTATTCAATTCTTCTCCACTTTATTTTGTCTTGCTTTCCTGTAGTTGTTTTATTTCTCTTCGGTTCGTTTCTGCTTTCAGTGTTGTGGTTTAGAGTTGTTATTTGTCTTGGTATTTTAATGAAGTTAATCTTTGCTGGTAAAAAAAAAAAGAAAGAAAGAAAGAGTTGTAAACTAAAATACTATAATCAATTATATTTTATAAGTCATTCTCCAAAATTTATAATTATTCATTCAAAAAGTTATATATCTCAAAAGTAGAAAATAATTGTCTATAAAGATTTGTAATCCAAACCCTCACTATGTGAAATTTAGGGGTATTGCTACCTTCCATTCAAAATAATCCAAACCCTCGATTGTTATTATTAACGACAACTTCACAAGCATATTAGGAATGCCTTTGGTATATTGTTGCAATTCTTTCTTATACCCTTTCCATTTCATTTGATAAGACAATTTTCTTATTTCATAGTACATATCTTTAAGCTTAAAATTTCGTCACCTTCTCACAAATACACTTTCATTAATTAAATAATCTTATGTCTTGTATGCAATCATTTAAACACTAATGCATCGAATTTCATTAGAACTCCGCAATTAAACATACTTTAAAGAGAGTAGTACTAAGATAAATGACCTTCTATAAAATTCTCATGTTGCACTTCTTTTTCAAGAGTAGTGATCAGAAATAATCTCATTTCTCTCACTGTCTTTTAAAACTTAACTAATTAAAAGCACTCTATTTTCAAAGGTATTTTTGATAAAAACATAGTAATTACTGTCTTTATTTTTTAAAACGTCTTAGCGGAATAGAGGAAGTGTTAGATAATGACTCATCCTCCGTTAATAACATGGTTAGGGGTCATTGATTGTCATTTTCAGTACTAATTTCTTAATGTCAAACCGTTTTTTGGGCTCACATAAGAAAAATCCTTCTCTTGGGTCAAAATGCAAAATCGAATAAATCCGGAACACAAGGTTGCATTTGGGCTTGAATTTATAAGACCCACGGATGTTTTGTTTTTAATTTCTTTTAAAGGGTCAATTAGAATTTTCAAGAAAGTGTACTACATTTGTTCTGTAGTAGCAAAAATAAATTAAGATGGACATAGACAAAATTATATGAAATAACTTGGTAGATAGAGCTTGTACTCATGGCCTTGAATAAAGAACAACAAAAATATATAAATAACAGGGTAAAATGGTAACTTAAATCTTAAACTGAAAAATAATTTAAATTCTAAACTCATTTTAATATATTTTAAACTCTAAACAATTATATTAATAATAGTCTGGACCTCACTGCTAGTTTGGACTAAACATCGGTTAATTTGAGTGGTGGGACCCTTATATGCATGATATTTCCCTCTTCTCTATCCCTCTCTCTCTCTCTCTCCATGTCTCTCTCTCATGCTTCACCCTCTCTATCCCAGAACCATAACTGGTACACTAAGGTCTGGGAGATGAGTTTGACGTCCAGGAGACTTAATATCAAGGTCACCACCATTGGTACGATATTCAAGCACTGCGGGAACACTGTTGAAATCCTTTAACTCGCTCAGAATCCCTCGGAGGCTATGATGGAGCGATTCTGGGTCGATATTTCGGTGTCCTTGTCAGGCGAGTCTCGGGATTGAGTCGTGATGGCAATGAACTAGTAAGGAAATGGCTTTCTCGAAACGATGTCGCAGCTTGGAAAACGGCGACAATATTTCTGAAGATGAAGTCTACGGTGCTGTAGATGTCGGATTCTCAGTAGAACTGTCGGAAGGAGTGAATGTAGAGGCTATCGCCACAAGTGGCGCATCTGTACAGCGCAGTGAAAGTCTACATTTACTCTCAACACTACTGCTTGATGCTTCTCTGGCCCTGCACTGTTTTCAACTGGTCCGAGAGATGAGTTTACAGGGACACGAGTGCTGGTGTTCCTACAATTCTAGGTGTAAATTGGTCAAAGAGACAAGTTTTGAAACCAGTCATTGTGGGAGTAATTATTAGGAATGATTCCGAAGGGAGGAAAGATAGTGATATCGCTGGAAGTGGAGTGACACGAAGATGTGAGTGCCAGGGGAAGCAGAGAGATGAAAAGCAAATGTAAAGCCATGTGGAAATTAAGAGGAGGAAGAGGAATGGAATTTGAAGGAGATGGAAGACGAATGGAATAAACTTCTCGAGAATCCCAGCTGCTGACTTGGTGAGAGAGAGACGCTAAGAGAGAGAGGGGGGAGAGAGAGAGGGAGAGGGAGATATCATATGCTCTTCCACCAGAATGGCTCAGTCAGTGATGGAGCAGAGATCATATGAAGTAATGAATCCAGTGAGTGAAGCAGATGACAGGACGATGGAGAGTGGAAGAGCTAGGAGAGAGTTCAGGTTTATTCAGCTGTTACAGAGGATTATGGCATTTAAAGTTATCAATGAGGAGTTACGTTCAAGCTTCCTTACGTTCAGGCTTATGTTTCATCTTCCTTACGTTCAGGTTTCTGTTTCATCTTTCCCGTGTTCGACGAAACTCACCCTTGAGTCAACTTCGGCATTATCATCAATGTGAGGGGATAGATCAGCAACATTAAAGGTGGCAGATATACCATAAGAACCAGGTAATTCCACCTTATAAGCATTGTTGTTGATCCTTTGCACTATCTTGAACGGACCATTAGCTCTTGAAGACAACTTGGCGTTTGGCTGTTTAGAAAATCGTTCCTTTCGTAAATATAT